CTGCCCACATTCCATGGCTGTGCCGGCCACAACGCCGGTATCACTGCAAAGTGCATTGTCAAAGGGCTTGGCCCACTATTTCGGTTTGGCGCAATATTTTGGTTGGCGCTAGGGGAGCAGGGACATGAAATGGCACCAAGAACCCAGGGGAGGGAAAAGAAAACCCCTGACAAATGTAGGGCTGGGGGAGGAGGAGACCAGCCTCCAGCAGCCTCCCAGGGCCCAGTGAGGAAGGCAGGGCGTGGGTGTGGACAAAGAACGGTCTGCACTTCCTGTTGGCTGTGGCTGCCCTCGCTGTCCTCAACCCAGCCCAGCGTTGGGTGACCAGCAAGCTGGGTGGCCTCCACAGGCCTCTGGCCTCAGTTTTCCCATCTGTATCATGGGATACATGCCACCAGATGGTCCCCAAGGGCCTTTCAGGCACACACCCTAAGACCTTCTAAGCACCTGCTCTCTCTTCATCCCCAGGAGGAAAACAGAGATGGGGCTGCACAGGAAGGGGGGAAGGAAAAACCCCATAGTCCTTGCCCAGTGTGAGGGGAAGAACCCCTTCCCTTCCCAGGACTGGTGCTGGGAGCCCTGAGCCTGCCCCTGCCTAGAACAGTCAAGATGAGGATGAGCTGCAGGAAGGCCTGAGACAAGGGTGGAGGCCGAGTCATGCTGAGCCTCAGGCCCGGGCTCTGCCCCTGCCCAGGTGCCTTCACCATCTTTGACAGAGACCAAGGTACAATGATGACCCCAACATTCCCTTGGAGTAAAACCCAAGGCACAAGAGGCACAGGGCGATGAGGACTCCTCCCCGTGGCGCTCAGGGAACATGGCCCTGCAGGTAGACCAGCACGTCCCTGTGGCTCTTCCTCACCACCCTGCCCGTCCCCTGCTTCCAGTGCAGGTGTGCCTGCGAACCGGCCTTCGCTCCGGGCCCCTCTGCCCCTCTCCAAGGCCTGGAAAACTCCTCTTGGTCTCAGCTCAGCAGCCCCTCCTCCGGGAAACCTTCCCTGCCTGGGCCAGGGTCTCTTCTGGGTCCCCTAACTCCTGTGCCTCCGCGGGTCCCAGCACTGATCACTGCAGGCTGGCTTCTCGGAGAGGGCAGATCTAAGCGGAATTCAGAAACAAGGACGGATTTGTGGCACAAGGGGAAGCAGGGACTCCAAGTAGGGGGACAGCACAAGAAAAGCCTGGTGACAGGGAGGCATGAGCTGGGCCTCTTTCAGAGCTGAGGGCACCCCAGGTCCCAGCCAGCAGGCTAAGCCCCATGTGGGTTCCATGAGGGTGGGCCTGTTGCCAAAAGGAGACTCCTCATCCTCTGGGAGCCCAGGGGCAGCAGGGGCCCTCCGGGGAGCTCACCAAACAAGCAAACCCAAGCCCAGGAGGCAGATCCCTGGCCCCGGGGCTGGGGCTGGCAGTGGGGGGCCAGGGCTGATAATGGGACCAGCCAATGCCACCGCCCTGAGGCACAGCTTTCTGGAGTGCTCACACATTTGCCACCTTCCTGTCCCTGGGCCTCCTCGGATGGCTAGGATGGTGAGATCCGGCTGCCGCCATCTCACTGTGTGGCCCCGGGCACATCGTTCCACTTCTGTGCGCCTCACAGAAAGCCCCAGATTTAATGAAACCAACAGAGGAGAGAGCCAGATGTAGGGAAGGAAGGAAGTCTGTCATGGATAGGCTGGGAGAGTGCCGGGAGGGAGGGGGGGAGGCCTTAGAGGTGAAAAGACAAGGCAGGCCAGCAGCCCCAGGCCCCCATCATGCTGGTTCTTTGGGGAAAAGCTGCTCATGGCCAAGGCTGGGGCTCTGCAGGGGCCCTCAAAAGATCAATCAGGCCATAATTAGGGTCATTATTAACCTCTTTCCACAGTGGTGTCAGCCAGCCTGTTTATCCAACACTTCCCTGCCAGGAGACTTCTGATTTCCCTTCCCCCCCACCCCCCCCAGCAGGCCAAGCCGGACTGTCTTCCAGGCAGGCGCACTCCTGACCCTGGCGGTGGGCTCCCCAGTTCTTCCGCCCCTCTTGGCCGCCCCCCTGCAGAAAGAGCTCCCTGCTTCTCCCCTGGGAAGGGATGGCTTCCTTGAACTGTGGCCTCTGGGATGATTTGTTCCCTACCTAAAGGTCTTGGGGTCACTCAGTGAATGTTTAAGAAGCGTCCGCTCTATACCAGGTGCGGCTGGGAGCCAAGCATGATTCACAGGGACTCGGACACAAACCTTCCTTTCAAGGAGACAGCCTCGCTGCACAACAGCAGCTGGGTTACGGCCACACGCACAGTGCTTTCTAGCACCCAGGAGCCTCCACGGGTGTCGACTCATCGAAGCATCTGGCCAATTCCACAGGTCAGTACCAGATCCCCATTTTATGGGCGAGGAATGGAGGCTGGCAGGGGTCAGGACAGGTCTCCTGAGCTGCACCTGCAGTTAAGGCCCCAGGGGGGAAGACTTGCATGTTTGGGGTGTGTCTGGGGGTACAGGCTGGATCGGAGCCAGGAATGGACCCTGGGGACTTGGGTTCTCTTGGCATAGGAAGGACCCCTCTTTCCGAAGTCAGGGGTATGAGCATGCGCTGAGTGGTCACCAAGAGTGCGGCCTGGCCTTACCTAGAACGCAGAGCTTGGCATCTCAGAACTCAAAATCTCTAGCTACGAACTCTCTAAACCAGGGTCTTAGAATCACCTCACTCAAGATTCCTACAATCAGAGTCCTGGCGCAGTCTGACCGGGATCTAAGAACTGTCCTTGGATTTCAGGCTATTAAAGTCCTAAATGTTGGCACCAGGAAAGATCTGGAGCCCTTCCATCCGGTCTCACTTCCCATGCAGAAATCCCCAGTTAGTTCCTAGGGGTGGCTCCCTAGCAGAGTGGCCAGCATAGGCTTGCATACCCCCTGTGATGGGCCCCTCCCTCCCTGGAGGGCTGAGTGCTTCCCTCTTTAAGCTGCCAGGACCCCTATCACCCCCCTCCCCCACGGGCACTGACAGGTTCTCCCTGGACCAGGCAGAGTGAGTAAATATTCTCTGGGTTTCTGGCAGGGCCTCAAGGGTGATCCCAGGCGCCTGGTGAGGGGGAGACTTTCACTATCCTCTCACCTCGGCTGACACCCCAGCCTCCCAGGAACCCAGTGATTCAGTCACAGGGACCAGGCTGGCTTTTTCCGATGCCTGTCCCTGGGTCCCCGGGAAGGAGGGGCCACCCGAATGGGAGGAAAAGGAGAAAGCAGAGTCTGGCAGAGACTTGCACTGAACAAACTTGTCTCTGCCCGGTTTTTACCCCTGGAGGGAACAGAGAGCGATGATTTATTTTAATTATTTATGTAAAATAGCAGAGTTATCATACAAACAGGCTTCCCAAGCGGGCCCTGGGGGATGGGAAGAGAAGCAAGGCCTACCATTTAAGGAACCTTTCTCTTGCTTCCCTCCCCTACCTGTCTCGCCCCCGCTCCCCCTGCCCCTCCTCATACCACTCTGCTCCAAGCACACCACTTTACCCAGCCTCCCCACCTCCATGCCTCTGCTCATGCTGGGCCCTCTGCCAGGAAAGCTCTCCCCCTCCCCATTCAAATCCTATCCATCTTAACAAATGGACCCTGTGTAAAGCCTGGTCTGAGCCCTTCCCCCCTCCCCGAAGCCCACTGCCTCCTCTCTTTGTGTTCCTGTCATCTGGCAGAACTCTGGAGACATGATCACAGGCCTCTGTGCCCGGTAATTATCTGCTTCCGTAGCTGCCTTGCCCACCAGGCTGCGAGCCTCCCCAGGCAGAGATTTTTAATCCATTTGGCCAAGCTTTTCTGAAGAGCCACAGTGCCTATGGCCCTGCACCAGGTGGTGGGGACAAAGATACCCCAGGCCCCATCCCTGCTGGAGGAGTCACTCTATAGGGGACCTGTGCCTCTACACTGGGCCTGCCACCAAGCAGGCACCTGTTTATTTGTGAGTCAGACAAGCTGCTTAAATGTGCAGTGGAAGGAAAGAAGATCACAGCCCCTTAAACCACGCGACTGTACAGCCACTTCTGAGCCCGATCCCAGCTCTGCTCCTGAATTATAATTAGCCTCTCCCAATCTACAGAAAAAAATAAGTTACTATAAAAAAAAGTCTCAATTAAGTATGTTCTCCCACAATTTTTGCTTAACCCCTTGCTATCTGTTTGCACATATCTGTTCCGTGTCTAGTAGAAGGTGACCCCAGAATTAGCACAGAATACTGATTTCCACATTGTCACTTCATCCCTCTTCACTGTTGGGTTCTGTGACAAACAGGACCCTCTCCGCTTCCAGGCATGTCTGAGAACCTGGGGCCTTAACCTTTTCTTCCCTCCTCTCAAATTTCTTGGTCTCCGTTCGGTAACCAAAGAAAACTGGATTTACTAGAATGCTGAGGAAGAAAGTCACAGGAATTTGCTGGCCTGGCACACCTTGAAGGTTCACGCCAATTCCATGATTCAAGACCTCTAATTCCACCATTTGCGATTCGTTCCTTTGGCTGAAGAATCACTTTCTCTAGGATTATCTTTTAAAATACAGATCTCCTCTGGAAATGGGAGCTCTTTAAACCCCCAAATTGGACATCAAGGAAATTTAGTTTAATACATGGCTGTAGCAGGAGTAAATCACAGGGATTGAGAATGTGCAATGAGAGTCAGTCTGCCTGGGTTTGAAACCCAGTTTTACCACCTACTAATTGGTATGATACCACTATACCTCAGTCTCCTTATCTATAAAGTGGGGATAATAATAGCACCCACCTCATGGGCTGTTGCGGGGATTAAGCGAGCTAATACATGTCTGGTGCTTAGACAGGTACCCGGCGCAAACTCTACTCCAGATCTTTACTTGCCCACCAAATGGGACAGCAATTCCTGTCCCGCTTGATCGGCTTTTTTGTTTTTTGTAAATCGTAAGGTGCTGTCCCCCTGGGAGAGGTAGATACTGTTTTAGAAGCCAGAGCACTGCTCTCTGTAGCTTGTCTTTAACGCCTTTCTCCCTCCCCCCTTCCTTTCTCTTTTCTTTACCTGGAAGAAGGTAGCAGTGGCTGTGAGAGGGGCTCCTGAGGATGTCCCGTCCACGGAGGCGGTGTTGTCACTTCCTTGGGACAGCTGAGGGGACAAGGAGACAGACCCGGTCAGATCACTCATCGGTCCCCCCGCCTTCTCCTCTCCCACCTGACCCTACGTGAGTCCCGACACCGTGCCCAGCCCGTGCTGGGTGTGGGGTCCAGGGCTGGGTCATACCTCGTCCCTGCCCAGGGACGCTGCCACGCTGGCAGGTGGCCCAGCAGCTATGGGCCACCAGACCCCCAAAAGCAATCCTACCTCTACCCATGCCGCCCACACACCAGTCCCGACCCCAAACCCACGATAACCAGTACCCTGAACCACTCTTGCCCCCCCCCAGAACCCATGTAAACGCAAGCCAAGTCCCAGCCACCCTGGGGAGCAACTGGGGCTGCATGTGGCTCCAGGGGGAGCAGAAGCCCTTTCGTGCTGCCCAGAGACCTGCTCCTCTGGAGGCAGCCGCCAAACCAGCCGCTCTTCTAAGGCAGCTGATGAGGGAGGGCGGTGGGCTGGAGGCGGGACCTGGGCACGGCAATTATGTGGCCAACTTCTGACTCATGCACTGCCTCCCCTCTCGCCAGCTCCTGCAGCCAGCAGGGCAGCCCTCCTGCCCAGGAACCAGGAGGAGAGGGGGTCCCAGAGGCCTCGCGGAGAAGCGGAGAAGGGAAGCGGCTCTGGGGCAGTGCTGCCGGCTTGCAAGGGCCACGGTCACGTTGCCCACCAGGGCACAGAGAGTCAGAGGCAGAGCCGGGGCTGGGACCTGGGCCTCCTGGTGCCCTGCAGCGCCAGGGCTGGGGTGGCTCAGGCCTGCTGCCCAGGCCCGTGCCAAAGCTCCAACCCGATCAGGCCCTGGAGCCGCACACCAGCAAGAAACACACAGCCAAGCTCAGCCTCGGACCGGAGGGGGCCAGAGCTGGCCTCAGAGAGACAGCTTAGCGAGGACATCCAGCTACTGAGAGACAGACCCCCGGGGCACCCTCACCCCGCCTCCCTCACCCTGCAGCCCCAACGGTTCCTGCCAGGCTCTGAATGCACTGCACTTTACAGTTTACAAAACATATTTATTTCCTTTGTCTCCCATTGATTATGACCCTAAGCGATGGGTGGAATATAAACAGAGCAGAGCTTCTCAAACTTCAGTGTGCAAACAAATCGCCTGGAGACCCTGTTAAAACACAGTCTGACACGGTAGGTCTAGGCAGGGGCCCAAGATTCTTCATCTCTCACCAGCTCCCAGGTGATGCTGGGCTGCAGGTCCAAGGACCACAGTTTGAGTAGCAAGCACAGAGTTGTTAACAGCATGGGCACTGGGGTCCAAGTCAGAATCTCGGCTCTTACTGTGCACCCTCGGGCAGGTTACTTAACCTCTCTGTGCCTCAATCTCCTTATTACAAAATAGCAACAATGACAACAGTAATATTAAACCTGACTTCTAGGGTTGATGTGACGATTAAGTTATGTAAAATGCCTAAAGTGATTATTATTTCAAATTTTAAAATGGAGGCTCTGGGACGTGGACGCAGCCAGCAAGGGAGCAGAGCCAGAATTCAACCCCAAATCTCTTCATGTAAATCCTGAGATACCAATTTACCACAAAAGGTCACCACCAGCAAGCCCTCCCCCAGACATGGATGTTGAGGCCCAGAGAAGGGTAGGGAGCTGACAAGTTCATGAGAAAGTTGGTGTCAGAGATTCAAGATCATGACTCCGGCCTCATGTTCTTTCCACTTAACTGTCCTTCTGCACTGAAGAGAAAGTGCCACAAATTCTCCCTGAGGCTCCCCCCCCACCCTGCCTCTGCTTCAGCACCTACATGGGCGGTGGCGACCCTGGAAGCGAGACGTGGGAACGGCTGGAGGTGGAGGCTGCCGCCTTGCCCACCACGGCCCGGGTTCAGGGTCCCCTGCTCTCTCAGAGCCCTGCCCACCAGGCTGGGTGAGAACTGTCTGGCCTCCTCCTTCCTTCTCCATCCCCTGCCTCTAGTCTGTGCCACTGCTTGGTCTCAGGGTCACCTAGCCGGGGTCGCAGGCTGAAGGTGACGTGGCCAGGGCTTATCTCCTCCCCCACATTGGTTTCCCAGCACGAGACAAGTGGGAGCCTGTGAGTCACTTGAGGGAAGTGTTTGGCCCCAAACAGGAAGTAGCTCTTCCAGCTGAAAAACCTCTCCGGGATCCCCAGGGCCCTGCAGCAGGTGGCTGGGTGGCAGAGCCCAATGAAGCCGATTGGGAGTTAGTAATACCTATTCAGATTTTACCTGAGACTCACGGGGCATCCATCCTCAACTATAAAACCTGGCCAGAGGCTTTTCTGCTGTGTGATCTTAGGTACATCAGTGCACTTCTCTGAGCCTTGATTCCCTCAGCTATAGGCTCTGGGGCTGCATTACAAGACTGCCTACAGCCTGGCATTCCACAATGAAATGAAGGGTTGGAGGAAGTGAGTACAGGTTTTAAATAAATGAGTAAACGCACACATGAATGAAATGAATGAGTGATCCAGACACAGAGATTTAAACACCAGCCATAAGACAAGCTCCATCATTTATCTGTCGTTAAGCTGTACGCCAGAGATCTCACCAATGAGATCTCATCCCGTCCCGTGAATCACCCTTAGGCGCAGGGAAGAAGGGCCACTGCCCTGAGCCCCACACGTCACAGACACACGCTCACAAATGAACGTAGGAGAGTACATACAGGAGCCTCCGCCACAGGATACCTGCGGGACCCGCGAGCCTCGCCCTCGCTCCCCTAACGCCGCTCAGGTCCCGTGAAACCCTTCTCCATTTCTTGGGCGTGAAGAACAAAAGATGCTTCTGTCCAGATAAAGGTCTGTGGGTTGCTTCGTTGCAGATGAAGGAGAGAGACACTAGGAGTGGTGGAGGAGGGGAGACTAAGTAGCAGGAACGTTCAGGAGGCAGATTAAACTTGTCAAATCCTTTAGACAGCAAGGAGCAATAGCTTCTTGCATAACAAAATATCTTTCCCAGTAATGCTGAGCAACATTTTCTTTTCTTTTTCTTTTTTTGGCTTTTCTCCCTGTTCCAATTTGTGCTTCTAAAAGTACTCATGAGTTAGTGTGGTATCCACAATAAATACACACGGCACTGAAGAACATCTTAGAGCATCTAAGAATTCGTATTACTCAAATGAATGTAACATGATGTGTGACACTAATTCTTCACACTGGCAGCTACATGGACATGAAAGGCTGGGCCTGTGAATAGGTTCACAGTGACACATGTTCAAACATGTGGATATTTCATCTCTAAATAATTTTATCTTAAAATCGGATATTCGTCGATTACGATGTATGTAGTTTTAATGCCCATAGATAATTTCGAGGAATTAAAAGCAATTTTTGAGGATAGACGTTCCCTTTTCTTTACATTTACTTTATGTTTTTGATGGAAATATACTCAAATTCTATACGCTTGAAATATAACCGCATTTTATTTTTGATCCTTCAGATGATTACCATCAATACCCAATTTTCGAATGATGTGAAAATCTTGATTATAACACTATAACTATGGTGATCTTGTTAAAATGAAGACAATATATTTTATGAAATAATAAGTAGGAATGCATGAATGTCTCATAACTCACCCGAACATCACCAGCAAAGCACCAAGATGTGTTCTAATAATTACATCCAGTCTCCTTTGCCATTTAGTCACTTTCAGTTGTATAAAACTGTTAACTTTACGTGTATATTTCAATTTGTATTATGAAGATATATTTGTCAAGGTGAGAAAATAAAATTATTTAACAGTTTCTGGGTTTCTTGAATCACCTCCAAATATCCAGCGAAGTATATGACACGGGCCTCTATTGGTATTTTTGTCCTGGGTCCTGAAAACTTTGCCCTGGGCCTGCCTCTCTACTCCTCACCCACCAGCTCTCACTTCTGTGGGAACCAGGCCGCCTGCATCGGCCCCTTCACCTGAGCATCTGCTGGGTGCCAGCCTGCCCTGTCTTCCCTAGAGTCTGCCTTTTATAAAGTGCTCTATGCGTGAAAGGTCCTCATGCTTAGACAGGGGCCTTATTTCCAGAGCCAACCGAAGTTCCTTCAAGGACAGCGGCCACGACTCGACTAGCATCTCTCTCATACCCGTTGCTCCTTAAAGTTCCTTACTCTGCAGCACCATCTGTGAAGGGACCCGGCCCAGGGTGCCTAGAAGTGTCCAGCAGCCCCCTGGCCATCAGGCTGAGTGAGTGGACATGTTTGGTCCACACAACTGGTTTTCTCCTTTGCACCCTACTCAGTCCACCTCTACCCATGCCCGCCTTCTGTCCACTTACTCTGAGGCTACTGGTCACACTGATCCCCTTGGACAAAAGCCATCAGAATGCACGCTTTTGAGAAACCTCCATGTTCCCTGCCCACCACCCTTCCTAGCATCTTTCACAAAGAGCTTCCAGAGAGCAGGACCCAGGTTCTGGAGGGGGACAGAGTGTCAAGGGGAGAATAGGAGACCAAGAGCCAGGAGGCCTGGGCTCTGAGCCTGGCATGGCCACTGGCAGGCAAAGCAGCCTCCTCTCTAAGCTCAGGTCTTCATTCCTCAAGTGGGATATAGCCACGAGCCCAGATTCCCCATGGGATGATTGGGAAAATCCAGGGAGCAGGATGTGACAGAGCTTTGTCAACTGTAAAGTGCTGACCGAGGGGATTGGACCGAGGGGATAGGCCAGTGTGTTCCCCACTGGCCTGGCACATGTCGAGTCCATCAACCGTAACAGTGTCGACCACATGCAGAGGGCCGGCTGTAGCCTTGTAGGGGGTGAGGAGTCCGTGCATTCTCTCATTTGTCCACCTCAGCCTCCCATTGCACCTGCATTCCACAGATAGCAGAACAGAAGCTCAAGGGCTTTGGGTCCCTTTTCAAGGGCATAGCTACATGAATGGCAAAGCCAGGATTCATACTCTGACTCACAAACCAGTCTACACAACCATAAATCCAGTCACTAGCACACAGTCCTTGAGCTCTTATGTGTGCCTGGAAAGGCTCCAAGCCCCTGGTCGGGGAGCCCATTGTCTAATGG